ATTATTAAACAACTAACTATGGAATATGCAAACTTCAACCCAAAGAATTGGAAAAAATTTAGTCTGAACTAGGAAAAATGTGAGGAAGAAACTACTTCAGTCTTGAAGAGTACAACTGCCACTTGCAGACAAGGCATAATTTGATTTAAGTCAGTTTAATATACTTACTACTGACCAAAACCAAAAATCCCATACAACAGAAGCACTCAGCAGCTGTTTCAGTTATAGATAAACAACATCTAAGGCATATTTAGGTTATTCTTCTCCAACTCCACCCATATTTATTTACTACTCACAGAAAGGTGTGACCCAACACCACCACCAAGGGGAAAAAGAAGTTAATTAATAATATAAATCTGTGGCAGCAGATCTCCATCTATAGGTAGGAAGGTGAACACTGATATTTGCATGTTTTCACCTGTGCCTAAGCCACAGGGAAGCACTTTTATCTAAAATAAAAGATACATCTATCCTTCTCTCTATCTTGCAACATTAATTAATTATGCCTGCTTAATTATTACATAGCACCAGCCTCACCTATAGACCCCCTCATCTCTGTTTCATTTATTTACTTTTGTCATTCCCTACATGCACAACAATTGTTTTCTGGGATACTGAGTTTCCTTCTCTGCTCTCAAAAGCGGCCCTTAAAGTATTCTTTCCTACTTATTTTTCACCTTTAATAATTACCCCATGCCACCTATAACAAAAAGCCATGCTTTTATTAAATTCTAAAGCACAGAACTCTTAATTCTTGGTATCCTGTGAGCAACAATGTTAGGAATAATTCTTAGGGAATGATAATGCTGGTTTGGTCAATCCCAAACTTTTCACCTTCCCCTGGATGTGCAACACCTGATCAGGTAATCTCAAGATCCCAGCTGTAAGCATGAGGTGAAAATCACAGCTAAAAAAAACCCAAAAAACCCTACTATCCTTCCACACTGCCTACAATGACAATTCAGATACATAACACCAGTACAAACCACCCAGCCCTTGCCCAAGGAAGCTGACAGAACTCAGCTATAGATGCACAGCCCTGAATAAAACTTCTCTTAAAATGCTTCATTTCAGCAGCTGAAAAACGCACACACAGAATGAAGAATTCCATTTGTCGAAGCAATACCTGTGTACAACCCTGCTGTTTCCCTAATCCTTGTCAGGAGACACCTTTATTCCTCATCCCACCCCTCGCCCTGCCAGGGCCTCCTCAGAGCCCCAGGGCGGGCTGGCGCTGCGGGGCTTGCCCCGGGGCCGAGCTGCCCTCAGCCCCCTCAGCCTTTCAGCCCCCTCAGTCTCTTCCTCACCTCCCTCTGCCTTTCGGCCCCGTCAGCCCTCAGCCCCCTCAGCCGGCTCACCTCACAGCCCCCTCAGCCTCCTGACCGTCCTCAGCCCCCTCACCTCCCCGCAGCCGCTCTCAGCCCCTTCCCCTCCCCGGGCTCCCCTCAGCCCGGCCCGGTTCCCCTCAGCCCGGTTCCCCTCAGCCCGGCTCTGCTCCCCTCAGCCCGGTTTCCCTCAGCCCGGCCCGGCTCCCCTCAGCCCGGCCCGGTTCCCCTCAGCCCGGCCCGGTTCCCCTCCGTCCGGTTCCCCCCAGCCCGGCTCGGTTCCCCTCGGCCCGGTTCCCCTCAGCCCGGCTCCCCTCAGCCGGACCGGTTCCCCTCAGCCCGGACCTGCTCCCCTCAGCCCGCACCTGCTCCCCTCAGCCCGGTTCCCCTCAGCCCGGTTCCCCTCAGCCCGGCCCGGTTCCCCTCAGCCCGGCTCCCCTCAGCCGGACCTGCTCCCCTCAGCCCGGCTCCCCTCAGCCGGCCCGGTTCCCTTCAGCCCGGTTCCCCCCAGCCCGGTTCCCCCCAGCCCGCTTCCCCTCAGCCCGGACCTGCTCCCCTCAGCCCGGTTCCCCCCAGCCCGGCCCGGTTCCCCCCAGCCCGGACCGGCTCCCCTCAGCCCGGACCGGCTCCCCTCAGCCCGGACCGGCTCCCCTCAGCCCGGACCGGCTCCCCTCAGCCCGGTTCCCCCCAGCCCGGCCCGCGCCGCCCGCGGCTCTCACCGGGCTCGGGCCGGCGCGCGCTTCCGCCTGCGCGGCGCCTTCCGGGCGGGCTGTGCGCGTGCGCGGGCGGGAAGCGGCAGCGCCTCAGGGACGCTCCGCCATGGGCGGGGCCGGGCCGGGCCGGGCGGGCTGCGCTCGGCTCCGGGAGGAGGGGATGCTCCAGCAGCGCCTCAGAGCCCTGTCCAGTGTCTAATGGGGCTCCGGGAGAGATGGAGAGACCATGGACAAGTGACAGGGGAGGGGTTCCCGCTGCCAGAGGGCAGGGATGGATGGGATGTTGGGGAGGAATTCCTGGCTGGGAGGGTGGGCAGGCCCTGGCACGGGTGCCCAGAGAAGCCGCGGCTGTCCCTGGATCCCTGGCATTGCCCAAGGCCAGGTTGGATGGAGTTTGGAGCACCTGGGACAGTGGAAGGTGTCCCTGCCCATGGCGAGGGTGGCACTGGATGGGCTTTAAGGCCCTTTCCTGTGGGAACCCCGGGTTTGTTCTGGGGTCTCATGTGGTGGTAAAGTCTCTCCTCCAACCCGTGCTTCCAAAGAAAAACTCTGCAGCCTCTTGTTGTTC